ATGAAGCAGAAAGTTTGAAATGTCTTTGGAATTTCCCTTGAAAGGTACATAGAAACTATTTAGAGATTTGAATGATTCAACAAGTTGGCCCTTATCCAAGGTTGTTTGGTCATTAAATGCTGGTCTAGTCCTGGTCCTGAAGCATCTCATTCACTGCAATAATACAGCATTTAAATATTTGTTGATTTAAGAAAAACAACACATCACATCATTTTACTGTCTTAAATATTTGTTTATTTCACATTTTTACAGAAAGGAGCACAGTGGAAACACTCAATGGGAGTGACAATACTTTGCAAAGTAAAGCTAAAGCCTGGGCTTATATACTACACTAGCAACACAAGAAAACGAGAGTGTGTGTGAATAGAAGTCAGGCGATCTGGAACAGGGATAACTGGATCTCTGAGAGTCCTGCGTCACGGGCTGCAGTGAGGGATTCTGGGAAACGTAGTCCTGAGCGGCAGAGTTAGCTGTAGGCTCAGCCATGTCAGGAGGAGGCGTGACATGACTGCATAGGTGTAAAATTTCTGTTGTAGCTGCTCTTTATTGTCAGCTACTGTGTGACTGAAGACAAATTCCATTGTGTTCAAACATACTTCCAATAAAGTCTGATTCTGTTCTGATTTTTTTCTCCTCTGTTTTTTTTGTACAAACTGAACAAAGTCATTAACAACCAAACTGAACGTATGTGAAATTTAATAATTAAACTTGTTAAAGATCTTGAATACATTTATTCTTGTTCACTTATTCCAGCTACTCCAAAAAAATCTGCAGAAAAGCCATTGGAAATCATATAGAATTCTAGCATATACAGATATTTTCAAAAGTCAGTTTCCTGTAGGAAAGTGTAAAAGCAAATCTAAGAATAGCTGTTACAGCTTTCACGTATCCTTCACACTGTTCCTGTTCCAGCACAGGGTCTACAGGACTGGGACTGAGAACCCCTGCTGTAGTATATTTAGTAGCATTTGGAAATTAATTCCATTTTTCCACTTTTTTCTTTGTACAAAGATGAATTCAGCTGCTTCTGAAAAGACACACATAGAATGATCATGGATCTATGGTAATAATTGTACTTTTTTACAATACTTAAGTGATATTTGGAAGATTTGTATTTTGCTTGGACGTTATCGAGACTGAGTACTTGTAGTTTTACTCACTTACATTTCCAACAAAAAAAAATCTTTTTACTCCTTATATTGTGATTTAAACTTTAGGCTGATTATAAATCTCAAAGGCCCGGAGACATTTCTCCTCATCTTCACTCAGTGGAGTTCCTGTACTTTTGCAGTTCTGTCTTTTTGTATCAAGGTTTGTATTGCAGAGATTTGTATTGTGGTTACGGCCTTGGATTCAGAATCATTACACCCCAAATTTATTGGTCCACTAGTTTGATAAGGTCGGCACACCGCTAACTGTATTCCACTGGACCGCCCTTGGACCACCCAGATCAATGTCCCGCATGCAAGACCTAACTAGTTTTTTTTTATCTCAGACAGGTTTTAATGCATGTAGCCTTTTATTTTGAAAAATAAACCAGACATTTTAAACAATTAAAATAAAAAAAACTTAAATCACTGTGGCTAATATGAAATGATTTTTAAAATGTTGTTCCATACGCTGTACTAGATTGATTACAGCGGTCTGGCTTTTATAATGAAATATAATCATAAGTCCTGCTCTTATAAAGCTGATGAACTGCTAAAAGAAGCCGCACACCATTCTAACAAGTTGCTCCAAGTGGTTCAACGGTGAACAGACAGAAACTCCACTCACAGTAAGATTAACATCTCTACACTAGCTAGTTTATTTCAAAAGCAGAGCTTTGTTCAGTGTCTTTTGTATTTATGGTGAACATTGATCATGAAATATAAGCTCACATACCCTCAAATTCAGTCCTTCTCAGTGATGTGACACAGAACTTCAGTTTAACATGAGGCTTTTTAAACAGAAGAAATTGGATTGTGCAGGGACAATGAGAAGTGAAACAGTGACATTTTGTGTAAAACTCTGCTCTTAGTGGATCGCCTGGAAAACACTTAGCAAAAAGCCGGTGTGCTGATAGTGGCAGTCGCCAGTGGGCTGCCAGATTTGCCATCAGTCGTCCGCTATCCTCCGGGATGTTATTTTTATGCTACTTTTAAGCTACACACTTAGCTTAAAAAGATGATGGTTCCTCAAAGGTTCTTTAGTAAAGAAAATGGTTCTATATAGAACCATGAACACTCAAAGAACCACTTGCACGATTAAAATGTTCTTTACATTATAAAAGGGTTCTTTAGATTGATGGAGAATGTACTGCAGATGGTTCCAGATGGAACCTTTTTGAAAAGGGTTCTATATAGCACCCAAAAGGGTTCGTCTATTTTTACAGGCTTGACATCGTAACAATAGCAGAACCCTTTTTGATGCTATATAGAACCTTCTGCATCACTCTGAAATCTGAAGAACACTTTCATGATGCATGATGGTGTATGGTTCCTACCATAAGTTTGCTGAGTGAAATTATAACTTATTGTGTAGCGTTAAAGCACCGTTATCTCACATGCAGCAGTCTGTCTTTACACTTTATAGGCCCTTTTCACACATCGATGCTGGAAACAGCGACAAAGCAGGTAAAACACATCCGGTTAGCCTGCAGGACGCCTACATGGAAGTAAGGCGGACACTTCACAAGTTGTCTTGAGGAACTTCCTCATATCCCAGGCAGTGATGTAGACTGATTTATAAAAGAATATACAGATACCAAGAAGAATAAAGGATATAGGTTGTTCTTTGAAAATTACATTTTTGACTTACATTTTTGAAAAGTTACTTAAACATAGTCAGCTAGCTTAGCTAACCTAGCAAGCTAACTTGGCCAACCAAACTGGAAATTGTTGGCTTATTTTAATATTTATATATATTTCATACATTTATGTTTTACATTGTTACAATAAACCAAGAAGGATTTTTCCTGTTGGCTGTTTCCTCCAACATCACTTCTTGTTTGCTACATTTTTTGAACGTTTGGTTTGATTTTGTTCTCATCTAAGAACAAATCCCAAATAAGAAAACACTGGTGAATGTCAGAATCTTTGTGAAAACTGAATAAGTGGGCTTTGAGAAGAAATCTCTTTTTAAGAATATTTGGTGAATGATGCCTATTGAAGTTTGCAGTCTTAAGATCCTTTGTAAGCATTTTCTTAGGAAAGCTTTTGTAAATCTGGCCCCAGGTGATTTAATGTTCATAAACTGTGAACTATAACAGAACATGTTCTACTGCCTCAGACTGATCACACAGTGCACATTGTCCAGTTGGATATTTAACTAGACCAGTGCTCACCAGTTCTGCTCCTGAAGATCTTCCTGCAGAGTTTATTTTCATGCATCAATGTGTCCAATACCTGCATCTAACATGCTGCCCGCTCCCTTACAGTAAAGCATCTGACCCAGCCAATCAAGGACTTCTGAGATAGTTAATTAGCTGGAGCAGGTGCGGTCAATTGTGGTTCCAACAGAGGTGGGAAAGCAATGAATTACATTTACTCCTGATACTGTACCTGGAGTAGAATTAAATCATAGTACTTTTATTATCACTTAAGTTTATTTTGTAATGAAATACTTTTACTTAGCTGCTTTACTTTTTGATAACCTTACAGAGTAACAATAAATTGTAAGCATATCAGCTGAAACTGCCTACCAGTACTTAATGTATTGTACCTGGCTGAAGAACAGAGGCCTGACCTCGAAACACAATAAACTACAAAAAAAGGTAAAAACTGTCAAACTGCCAGAAGCAGACTAAACATACTGATTTAGTTGAAAATGTCTTTTGGAAACACGTCCATAAGCACTGCTGTCACTTTGAGACTTCTTTGCCTCCACTCAGTGTACATGCCTTCACTCTTTCTTATGTGAGAGATTTTATTTACTTGTGTGTTCTAGACCAAGACTCTGGAACAGTCGCCCATTTTCTATAAAGCCACACTGAAAATAGATATTTTTAAGCCAAATTTAAAAACTTATCTATTCTCTCAGATGTTTGAGTCCTTTCAAAGACTATGTATTCGGTTATCTGTTCCATCTTGGTTTGTTCTATCTCACATCAGTAGCTTTTCCCCTTTGTCTTCTGTTTTTGAACCAGATTAACTTTAGTTTTACAGTGTATGACGACGTTTTCTTCCTTTCCCATTCCCACTCCTACTGCTATGTTCTCCTGAGCCCCTGTTCCAGTTTTCTGTAGAGTTCACTTCTTCTGTATGTCTTTAAAGCTGTTTTGTGACAGTGACTGTTGTTAAAAGCACTAAAAATGATATTGAATTTGATATTTAAAACCCAAAACAAATTTTAAAAACAAATATCTGTTTCAAACAAAATGAAGATGCTTATTTGCTGATGCTTATTTGCTGAGTGTAAATCCTTGTCAGTGTTTCAGTCTCATTCCTAAACATTTTTTATTCATTGATTTATTAAAACAAATCATCAGCACTTTTGTTTATTGCATGTTTTCAAAAGACAGAGGCATTTTTCATTTCATAGTGTATTTGTTACATATTAATACTTTGCATATATGCATTATATATGATGATAATGTCAGTGTCATGTAAAAGGAAAGCCAGTGCACTCCCAGGTTGTTTTCAAGTCACTGTACAGTACTCACAACAAACTGCACATTTTATTTAAAGCCAATGAGCACAAATTATGTGAAAGATTCATTAAAACAATGAATTAAAAAAATAAATCACGATTTAAAAAACAACCAGAAACTAAAAAAGCCAACAAACAAAAAAAAAACAGATGTACCTCCATAATGAAAATTTTACAGAAGAAGGTTAATTTTTATCAAGTTAATGCAGTAAGAAAAAACAGCTACTATACTTGAATGATGTACAAATACTGGAAAATGGAGAGGAAAGTTTTGAAATAACAGAGATAATATTCAGAGTAAAACTGTAAAAGCTTTATACCTTGTTCACAGGTCCTGTCATCTAATAGGACCCTTTAGCCTTTTAGCCACTACTGAGTCCTTTAGACATACCATTCTCAATTAGGAAATGATGTTAACAGCAGACTGTGTGTTTAAAATGTAACATTCGCTGTGAAACTGGTTAGAATGTGTGTTGTTTACAGTGAGAAGTGTTTTCTGATATGTTGTTGACACATTATATTCTCAGACTGTTTGCTTCAGCATGTATATTCTACTGTGGTGAAGGTCATATCCAGTTCTGTGTTCCCAGTCCAGCAACTGTAGTAGAGCAGAGCTAGAAGAGCAGCGATCAGAACAGCAATGAAGGAAACTGTAAGAGACATGGCAATGACAGGACTAACTCCACCTGCAGAAAATAACAATGTTAATAGAAATTAATTCCAATTTAAACATTCAGTATACATTTGTCATCATGTTGTCATACCAGTGGAGTGTTGCCTTGTGCTGAGGCAACAAAACAAAGCATTTTTCCACCTCTTATTACCTTATTGTCAGTACACTGTGAACTCAAAACATGAGGTTGCTGTTATCAACAGTAAAATGCTTCGTTTTTATGAAGAAAAGTATCACCATAAAATAAGAATTTAAGCATCAAAAATCTGATCCATGCTTTATTTATAGACTGCAGCTTGGTCAGAGAAAACATACATGTAACATATGTAATAATGTATATGAATAAACACTGTGAACATCAATAAGTCTTCACTCAGCAATTAAACCCCAGTTTTACTAGGGTAAGTAAACTGACCAGGCTAACTAAGTGTTTTTCTAATTGCAGTGAAACAAAAACTGGGCTCTCTCTTTTTGAACAATTTGATCTGCTTCTGTAGTTAAAACAAGCACAAAATTCACCATCATTTTACTCTGTTTTGTAACCTTTATTCAGCACAGTCATTTGGTTCCTGTTTGTTGTCTAAATTCAATTAAAAGTAGCAGTGTAATAATAATAATAATAATAATAATAATAACAATAATAATAATAATAACAAGAAGAAGCTAATAATAAAATGCTGTGATTTAACATATTACCATACACTAATAACATGCTATTATTAAATAGGCTAGACTCGAATGTCTTGATTTGGGACTTAACTGCAGACTGCAGAGTGTCAAGACTTGAGATTTACTTTTTGCAACTTAGTGACTTATTCCTATCTCTGCTGAATGATCTGGGGAAAAAGGTCAGGGAAAGATTATCACCCATAAACTGTGATTTATGTCCCATATTGGGGGGAACATAAATTAACAGTCAGCACTGGTGATTTTGGTCTCTAATATGTGTTCAGAGCAGAGCTAGTGAAATGAACAATATGGTACAAAGAACTGTAACAGATGTGGCAACAGCAGGAACTCCACTTGCAGAAAATAATAACTGTAATAACTGATGAATTAACCCAATTCAATATGAATTATTCAGTGTACACTTGTTACTATACCATTGGATTGAGTGTGTGTGTGTGTGTGTGTGTGTATATAAAAATAATAATTAAAAAAACCAAACCTGTGAGACATTTCTGCAGAGAGAACTCTGTGCTCTTCTTGCTCACTTCATTTTGTGCGGTGCAGTAGTAGACTGATTTTTCTTTGAAGGAGACGCTGATTCTCTCTCCTGTTTCTTTGAATCCATTTGGGCCACTCCATATAAGCTCGGCCTGAACTGAAGAGCCCACTGAACACAGGAGTGTCGCTACTGTACTATTTGCATGACAGGTCACGTTTGGTACTGGAACTGCATCTGAAGGTAGAATGTATCCTTGTTAAGTAATACCTAATAAGTCACCCTTTAAGAAGAAATTATGACCAAGAGGAAAGAACATCATAAATTAGTTCTCCTCTTTAACTCGTTTTCTTTTCCAAGACATAGTTAAGTCCAGTAGAAGTCCAAATCAGAGTTCAACATGAGCCCTGGATATCTTTTCACACATGAGAAATCTATAACATTCCTACCAAAATCAGATCTTAAAACATGACTCACTTACCAATCACTTTAATCTCATGGTCAGAATACTGTAGTTTTCCATCCACTTGGATTTCAGACTCATACAGACCACTGTCCTCTTTACTCAGCTGGTTAATTGTGAAGTCTCCAGTTTTAATATTAAGATCTGCTCGACCTTCAAATCTATACCAAGTAAACCCATCACTTTCATACTCAACTGCTTTGTACTTTTTAAATTTCCACAGAATGGTCTGAGGTGTTCCTGATGTGAAAGACTTAAAAGTGTAATTTCCCCCAGTCTGAACAGGAACAACCTCAGCACAAAATAATTGACCTAAAAAAAGAAATAAATGAAGTTATGGAGCAGAGAATAGGCTATGTCACAATATCACAGTACACATTGTAATTTTACAGCTAGTTGGGCATCACAGTATTGTACATTTAGAATGATGTCCCATATTACAATTACAGTAATGTTACTGTAAAATATTTACTATAATTTCACTGCAACCAACTGCCTATAATTTACTGTAAAAACTACAAACGAGCTATCAAGACTCCAGAAGTGTACTTTTTTGACACATGAAAACTGAAACGTGAACACAGCGGTAAGTGTACAGGTCTATGTTATGACACTAACACATTAACTAAAATCAAATACACTGATTGTAATTCTTATTAGATGATTACATTTTGATCTGAATTTGGTTTGCACTCATGAATATTATTGCATATAGCATTATTTTATTTTAGCCAACGTTGCTTACCTTCTTCATTTCTGTTAGTTTGCTCTTGTACTCTGTACCTTACGCAAATACTTGGTACACTCATTTTTATTAGGTGTCCACAAGCCACAGGTGCTGAATCTCTGTTGTTTTTGCTCAGATTAGCCTAGATAATAATTGTTCTGCTTTAAAACGGATTGTGCAGACCAAACCGTAAGGCCTACAAACATGAAACACGGTCAACAGGCTATAGTCACTCCCGCTACTCAGACACATAAGATGAGCTCAATCTGGCCTGAAGGGGGCACTACAGTAAAGTGTTTTATGTTTTGGCCTATTTGTCCTACAATGTGAGCCTTACAGACATAATTATGGGTGCTGCTTATTCATCAAAAACTTAAAATGGCCCCCTGGAAAAACTTTGCAATATTTTGCATTTTTGCAAAACCTACTTAAGCAAACTTGATTTTTCATTCAATCTTCACAAAACTGATATGAATTTATTTGCAATTGCCTGAACCTCAATAATTACCAAGAAGTATTGACAATTGTTAACAACAAGGCATGTTAATCAATCCTTCTGGATTAGAGCACTGTTAACTAAAACAGCTATAACTCATGAAAGCTCCGTGTGATTTTAATGAAAGTTGAGAGGTCTCAAAGGTTGATTATGTCTCAAAAGCTTCTGAGGTAGTCTGTCAATTTTGGCCAAGGTATGTCACTCAGGGGCTCTAGTAAAGCAAAATAACTGTTTCCCAGCGTCTGATCAAGCTGAAATTTGGCATGCAGCATCTTTGAGCTTACTTATGAGAGAGTTTTCAAGACTGACCTGATAAATGGAAAACCAATAAATTTTCAGTAGGTCTTTGACAAGCTTAGCAGTGACCAATCATCATGAAACTTGAATAGTATGTCTATGTAGGGTCTCTTTATGAAGTTTTACAAGAACTGACTTTTGGGGGCACTACTCTATTTTCTACTATTTTAATCAAGTATATTTCATACATGATTTCACTTCAGGACAGATCACTGCAGCTTTGGCAATTCTGAATGAAACTGCTAAAACTCAAAAACAGTCTCATCATCTCAGAATTTAAACCACTTATATATATATATATATATATATATATATATATATATATATATATATATATATATATATATATATATATATATATATATGTCTGTAGCAGTTAGTATGCTACAAACAACATATGCTTGCATCATTTCATTTTTACCAGGACTGGTTTTACCACCTGGAAGCATGCTACTGAAAACAGTGAGTTACTACACTATACTAATGATCTGTGTATGCTTAGTAGGACTACTCTATGGGTAGAATAAACTGTTAGAACACCTGACACACTGACCTGTACAGAGAGTTTTAAGAGGTTTCTGCCTGTTTCCATTTTTAATATCACTGAAACATCTAAGAAGGTGTCTCATTAAACCGTCCTGATAAATGTTTATTATCCTATGCTTGGACTAAGAGCCATCAGTGCTGGCTTATGTGCTTTGGATCCGGGCAGTCCAAAGTTTTTGGACGTTGTCAGACCATTACATGACTTAACAGAGAAAGTTATGTTGAAGGCTCAGTTCGCTGTTGCTCACCATTTTGTACCACATCAGCTAATAAGGACTGATATGAAAACCTGAGCCTAAAAAAAACCTGTTCAAGGTCATTCCAGCGTTTTGGAGGCAATGTCCTGTATACTGACTGCATTCACACACTCACTGACATTAGGAGCCTCTATGACAACTCGTTTTCTATTCTGAAGAATGTATTTTCTGTACACAGGGGCAGCATGATTCACAAACACAGAGCCCAGCTGATTCAGTTGGCCTTTAAAGAGGATTTATCCAGCAAATTCTGCAGTGAAAACTGGAAGGAAAAACTGCCGGGAAGATTCATTTAAACTCCAGCTTCAACTTTATTGATCATAAAAGTAAGCTAAAATTAGTTCGTTTCCAATATGGCTAGTTTGGTGGGCTTACTTAGCATGTAGTGTTGTTGTATTAAACTGAGTGTGTCTCTGAACTTTGATTCCTTTTGTCATTTGTTCTTATATGCTCCTCGAAGCTTTGAAGGAGAACAAACAGGTTCAATGAGGTGAAGTTGGGGTCAGAAAGGGACAAAAGAGAAATTACCCAACAAAATGTTTAGGGGTTTCCAAATCCGGTCCTGGTGACCCCACATTTTGAACATTTTTGTGCATTTTTGTCGCATTGAGCACACCTGATTCAACTCATTAAAACACAAAAATGTGCAGAGCACGGGTCTCCAGTGTTGGGAGTGAGAACCTCTATTGAGGTACATCTAGTAAAATTTGTAAATAAATGACATAATGTTTATGCTTTGTTACTATGCTTCAGTATTATTTTGGAAATTTTGTGTTTTACTTGACTGTTACCAAAATTGAATAGGAGTAAAAAAAATCTTTTTTTACTCCTTACATTTTCTGCCCACAGCTATGCTACTTTGTCTTTGGAGTAAGATTAGTACCACCAATTAGTCGCTGTGACACACAGCACCAAACAAAGAAAACTTTTGTCTGTTAAAACATTGACTTGTAATTTACATTCTTAATTTGTCTAAATGTAGATACGTTTTGACTTTCACTAAACTATATGTTTGACCCCATGTGTCCACTTTTTTGACAAAGATTTTGACAAAGTAATTTTTCTACTCTTACCCGTTTCTTGCTAATTTTAACTTAGAATAACTTTGGAAGTACTATTTCTATACCTGCACCTCTTTGAAAGTCATCAACATTAAGTATAGCAGGTTAAGACTTTCAGTAGCGTGTTTACTGCAGCTACAGGACACTCTGGACTTACTCACTGACATTATGAACAGTTAATAATGTAAACATTGAGTATTTGACTTACCCAAAGAAAAAAAATATATATATATTAAGAGCTCCCGGGTACGACTGTGCCTCTCCATTTTCAGAACACACACTTTGGTTTTGCAGAAAGAACACTTCCCCTTCAGAGATGTTACCACTGAACTATATTCTCCTCTTCCCGTAAGAGACCACAGCAGAGATCAGCTTTTTGGTGATTCAGCTAATTTTAGCTTAGCTATTAAAAGCGTGAGACTGAAGCACATACAGCAAGTCAGCTCTACTCAGGCAATGCCCTGTATACTGGCAACATTCACACACTCACTGACATTTGGAGCATCTATGGCAATAGTCAAAAACTCTTTTCCTGTTCTGAAGAATGTATTTTCTGTACACAGGGGCAGTAAGATTCACAAACACAGAGCCCAGCTGATACAGTCATCCTTTAAAAGGAATTTATCCAAAAAGAATTTGCAGAGAAAACTGGAAGGAAAAACTGCTGAGAAAATGTTGCTAAATTCCAATTTCTACTTTGTTGATCATAAAAGTAAGGTAAAATGAGTTTGTTTGGGTTTTCTTTTCCATTATTGCTAGTTTGGTGGGCTTACTTAGCATGTAGTGTTGTTGAATTATAGCGAAGGTATTTTTTACTTTATTTGCACATAACTTGTGAAATGTTTCTCTTGTGAATTGTTCCATTGGCTTGAGAGTTTGATTTTGTGCTTAATGTAGTTGTCAGTTTCGCTTTTAGTCTGTATCTAGTTGAAGATGCTGAAACAAGCTTCTGGTATTATTGACTGCGTTTTAGCACCATCTTGTAGCACCAATCAGGTTGTGCACTTTCACTTTGAGCGCTGTCAAAGTATGTTTCACTTGAATTATCACCGCCACTGTGAAAATTTCAGATGCTCCTAACTCACTCTGCTCTGGTGCTGCCCTGGAACTCTGACTCTCTATTTTTATCTTCTATCTGTGAAAAAGACCCCTGTCTGGCACATTAGACCTCATTGAGCTGATTCTTGCTTGGGCCCTGCGCATTGCAGCTTGGGGCTATATTTTTAAATTTGTATATTAACTATATAAATATGTGTCTGTGTGATGGTGTGTATGCTTTATTGAATTCAGATATTTATGTTTTTGTGACTTGTAACAGTGGCAGATGGAACCAGACGCTCGCAGCAGAGGATTGAGTTCAAAACTTTTCTGTCAAAAGGGCAATCCAGACTCACAGTCGGTGAACACAAACAGATACTCAGGCAATCTGAAACAGGGATAGATGGATCTCTGAGAGTCCTGTGTCATGTGCTACAGTGAGGGATTCTGGGAAACGTAGTCCTGAGCGGCAGAGTTAGCTGTAGGCTCAGCCATGTCAGGAGGAGGCGTGACATGACTGCATAGGTGTAAAATTTCTGTTGTAGCTGCTCTTTATTGTCAGCTACTGTGTGACAGTAGATGTGTACAGAGCTGGGACTGAGAGCCCCTGCTGAAGGACATCTAGTAACATTTGGAAATGAGAGAAAGTATCGGTCTTTTCACATTTGCTTTCTTCTATGCTCTAACCTATGTTGTCTTTTTGTTCTGTCAGCTGTATTGTCTTACAGTTGTGTGCCTTTTGGTGTTTTATCTGTATTGTTCCCCCTGAGGTGAGAACAACCTCACCTTACCCCTGGGGTCTCCCCTGACCCCAGACGCCCTTCCCCTTCTTCCCTAACCTTTTGATTGTCACCTAATTCCCCTCCCTCTTTACTTCCTCCCCTGACCCCCAGTATCTCTACTTAAACTATGTCAGACCATGTCTTCATCAGACTGGACTGGAGACTGGACTGGAGACTGGACTGCAGACTGGACTGCAGACTGGACTAGACTAGACTGGACTAGACTAGACTGGTGACCAGACCAGACTGGTGACACACTGATGACCAAGATGTGCCCGTGCGATTGTCTGCATGCACGTGAATAAGACTAGACTCCTGATACTGCTGATTGACTGCTGATCGACCACGCTGTACCCATACTCTGTATGTGAAAATAAACTCCAGTCAATGCCGAAGCTCCAGTCTCCACTTTTTTCTCTGTACAAAGATGAATTCAGCTGCTTCTGAAAAGACAAACATAGAAATTTACCAACCATTTATTAGAGAACAGGCACTTACCTGTAGGTGGAAAATACTTCAGTAATAATCATGTATCTATGGTAATAATTGTACTTTGTTACAATACTTAAGTAATATTTGGAAGATTTGTATTTCGCTTGGGTGTTATCGAGGCTGGGTACTTGTAGTTTTACTCACGTACATTTCCAACAAAAAAAAAGAAGCTTTTTACTCCTTATATTGTGATTTAAACTTTAGACTGATTATAAATCTCAAAGGCCCAGAGACATTTCTCCTGGTCTTCACTCAGTGGAGTTTCTGTACTTTTAAATGGACAGATTTTATTGAAACATTCAAAGTCATATCAGTGTAAAATGAAACTCAGCTATGCTAGTTTGTCTGTTGGGGGAGGGGGGGCTAGTACCACCAATTAAATGCGGCGCCGCACACCACAAAACAAAGAAAACTCTTCATTTGTTTGTTAAAACATTTGTTACAACATGTACTTCTTATTTCTGTACTTAAATATGTTTAAATGGGATACTTTTTGACTTTCACAACTATATGTTTGGCGTCATTGAATACTAGATACTCACACTTTCACTTACATAGAATTTTTCTGTATGTTCCCTCTCCTGCCTATTTCTTAATACTTTTTTTTTTACAATCAAAATAAGAAATGACTTTGGAAATATTAAGTCCATTTTATACTTACACATCTTTGAAAATCATTAACATTATATATAACAGGTTAAGACTCACGACTCTCAGTAAAATAGTTGGTAAGAAACTCTGAACTCACTCACTGACATTATGAACAGTTAACAAATCAAACATTGAGACTAACCCACAGCAGAAAGAGTTAAAAACACTAAGAGCTCCCAGACATGGCTGTGCCTTTTTTCAGCGTTTTCACAATTTGCTTTTGTGGGAAGAACACTTGGTGAAAGATGTTTGCAGCCGTTCTCAGTCTTTCATAAGAGCCCAAAGCCAGAGAACGACTTGCTCTGCAATTAAAAGTGCTCGGTGGAAACATTCACACCAAGTCAGCACTACTTTTTGTCCTTAAAAGGACATTTTACAGTAAAAAATATGCTTTTTTAGAGGTCCCCTTCACTTAAAAACTGAATCTAGCTTTGTACAATTTAAAATTGATTTTAGACATATACTGTATATACCATTCTAAAGTCTTATATTTTGGAAATGCTTGCGTAAGCACTGCTGCACACTGCTGCCACTTTGAGACTTCTTTTGCCTCCACTGAGAGATTTTATTTACTTGTGTGTTCTAGACCAAGACTCTGGAACAGTCTCCCATATTTTTCTTTGTTGAATTAATTGTGCAGGTTTGACTAGTCATTAGTGGTGTTTGTTTTAGTCTCTTCTTTTTTACTTGGTAAATTATGTTTTCATTGCAGTTGGTGTTATTGTGCAGCACTTATCAGTTGTTGTGCTGACACTGTTGTCTTTTTAATGTGCTATAGAAATAAAGGTAACTTGAGTATTGGTTTTGAATAAATGTAAGTCTATTAGTTGTTTATAGGCCCTGGGCCCATGACCAAGTTAATCCACCTCTGGTTTCATGGACCGTGTATTGTTTTGCTATTTTGTGGAGCTTGTTGATTGTATCCTAATCTAAATTGTGTAACGATGACTTGTTTAATCTTCCTAATTTTAGTGTATGTTTGATGAACCAGATTAAGTTTACAGTGTATGAAGACTTTCTCTTCCTTTCCCATTCCCACTCCTACTGCTATGTTCTTCTGAGCCTCTGTTCCAGTTTTCTGTAGAGTTCACTTCTTCTGTATGGAACTTTAAATCTATAGTTGGTTAAAACTGTCTCAGCCTCACTTTCTGGCTACTCAGCCCCTGTTGACCCATCACATTTCTACAGTTATCAAGTCCCTGAGTGTTTTATTGAGTATTGCACCAGTAGGGTACAGTTTTGTACAGGTTTCTTCTTGTTGCTTTCCTGCTGCTGCTGCTGCTGCTTTTAGTTTGCTCATTAGAAGCCTAGACGTCTAGATGTCTATAAAGGTGTTTTATGACAGTGACTGATAAACTAAACAAATTGATATTGAATTTGATATTTAAAACCTAAAACCCAGAATTTAAAAACAAATATCTGTCTCAAACATAATGCAAATGTTTATTTGTGAGTGTAAATCCTTGTCAGTGTTTCAGTCTCATTCCTAAACATTTTTTTATTCATTGATTTATTGAAACAAATCATCAGCACTTATATTAATAGTATCTTATTGTTTATTGCATGTTTTCAAAAGACAGAGGCATTTTTGATTTCATACAGTGTATTTGTTACATATTAATACTTTGCATATTAAAAATATACATAATTAATATATTTAGGTTTATTATTAGAAAGTATTATTATATATGATGATAATGTCAGTGTCATGTAAAAGGAAAGCCAGTGCACTCCCAGGTTGTTTTCAAGTCACTGTACAGTACTCACAACAAACTGCACATTTTATTTAAAGCCAATGAGCACAAATTATGTGAAAGATTCATTAAAACAATGAATTAAAAAAATAAATCACGATTTAAAAAACAACCAGAAACTAAAAAAGCCAACAAACAAAAAAAAACAGATGTACCTCCATAATGAAAATTTTACAGAAGAAGGTTAATTTGTATCAAGTTAATGCAGTAAGATTTTATTAGCAGTAAATTTGGAGCATTTCTGTTTGGCATATTCAATATGAAATGTTCACACAATGGAAAAAAAACAGCTACTATACTTGAATGATGTAAAAATCCTTCAGACACACCATTCTCAATTAGGAAATGATGTTAACAGCAGACTGTGTGTTTAAAATGTAACATTCGCTGTGAAACTGGTTAGAATGTGTGTTGTTTACAGTGAGAAGTGTTTTCTGATATGTTGTTGACACATTACATTCTCAGACTGTTTGCTTCAGCATGTATATTCTACTTTGGTGAAAGTCATATCCAGTTCTGTGTTCCCAGTCCAGCAACTGCAGTAGAGCAGAGCTAGAAGAGCAGCGATCAGAACAGCAATGAAGGAAACTGTAAGAGACATGGCAGTGACAGGACTAACTCCACC